AGTAAAAGTCAGAGAACAAAAATTTATTAGTTAAGGTTATTATGTCAAGCAATATCGTCTGTAAAGAATTATGATCGTCATACAATTACTTTACTTCATTCTGCAACTTTTATATAAAATTTTACAAAATCCTGTAGAATTATATCGAATTAATAAAATCGAATTAATTAAATCAAAGTAATTCCATAAAATTCTATAAAATTTATATAATTCTATACAATTCTATAAAACTCTATAAAACTCTATAAAACTTTATAAAATTCTATAAAATNCTATAAAACTTTATAAAATTTTATACAATTCTATAAAACTCTATAAAATTCTATAAAATTCAATAAAATTCAATAAAATTCCATAAAATTCTATAAAATTCTATAAAATCCTATAAAACTCCATAAAATTCCATAAAATTCTATAAAATCCTACAAAACTCTATAAAATTTTATACAGTTCTATAGAATTCTTAAATCCTATAGACTCAGGAATATTCAAGACGATCTTCACAGTAAGAAAAATATTCATGTGAAAGAAAGAATTGAACGGAACGATGGAAACATAAAATACGTGTAACTTGTTTATAAAATGATGCACTTGTTTTACCTGGTAAGACAATTCGCAAGAGAGAATCGCCGTGGCCTCTGGATTTTGATGCGTCGCCGCCAAAAGTGTTGGGAAAATGTACGACGTCAATCCTGGTGCCCCATAGAACGGAAACGGTAAAGTACACAGCTGCTGGAGAACACTTGGCCCAGCTCCAGCCGATTGCAGGGTCAACTGGAATCAATTAAAAGGTGCGATTTGTTACAATTATGTTAGAAATAATAATTTCATCAATGTTACACGTTTATGAAATACTTCGACATTTTAGGATGCAAATGGCTTTGCATCAAACGTAAAGTTTCAGGATTTCTTCGATGTTTTGTGATAAAAATCGATACCTTCATCGTATGCGTAATATATGAATTAATTGTAAACTTTTTGTCATTACACTTTGTAATTTGTTTAATTTACGTGTTAATTCAGTCATTAGGTCTACAGTGTCCAATAACTTGGACATGCATACATGTTTCTATGCAATCATTAGGCCATCGAAAGTGTGTCACATTTTCTGCAATTAAAGGGACACGCATTTTGAAAAAATAGACGATCTACCCTTCCAGATAAATCTATCATTACATATAAATGAGCCATTTATTTTGAAAGTGGCATAAGTCACTTTACCATAACGAAAAGTGGTGATTTTTTAATGTTTATACGAAATTATTTATACCGAGAAAAATATCAGTATCCTGAGATAACAAATACAAGTAAATCTTCTCGAAAGTTAGCGTCCATATTTTTAAACGTGTTAAAACGCAAACCCTTAAATATATCGACTTCAAAACAAAGTGACTTATGCCACTTTCAAAATAAATGGCTCAAATGTAACTTGCATTGGTACGATAAGTGACTTATAACGGAAGTTCTCTCCTTAATCGTGCAATCACTGGAACATTTGCCTTAGTTCGCTAATTCGAATAAAAGACGTTCGCAGAGATGGAGCAGTTATTGTCACGGGAAACGCTTTCAATTGCAAATCACCCATATGAAGGAACTAGGAGACAAGTTGACGATCGCCGGACAGCGAGAACAGTTAGTCACGAGTGTCCGCGTATCGTTCATTTCTTGAAATACCGTGAGAAACAGGGCTTCTATTGCCCAGGTGACGGAAACTGGCTAGCCGAGGACAAGAAAACGTCCTAGAACACCTGCGATCCAACAAGTGTCCGCAAGTAAGCTAATGCACCTGTAGAACAACCTCTTGCAGGAAATACCCACATTACGTGCTCCTCTTTCCCAACCTTATACTACTCCTTGATCGGAATCATGTCGAACCTAAAGATATATACAGTGGCTCGCATTGATATTCGGACTCCTTTGAGAACGAAATAATCTGTTTTAGAAATGAACTGAACGGTTTGAATTTTCTTTTTTGGATGATAGAGGAACTAGTAGTAGAACTGTTTAAACTTCTGCATCTTATACGTCCGATTTTGTTGCGAACAATTTCCCAAAGGTTCCTACTGTAATATAGTTATTTAATTCAATTTTATAAGTAAAGTGTTTTTTAAATTTGTAGAATTTAGATTACATCCATCGTCGGTGTTGAAATGCACCGACACTGAATGATATCTGCTATATTTTAACGATATGAAAATAAGTATTTTTTTGCTTCCTAATGATCTAATAAATTACTTCCTATAATTAGTGCAATTAGTCAAATATTAGTGTCATCTTCTGTATCTTCTACATCTGATTTATCGGTTCCAATTTATCGCAAACAATTCCCCAAAAGTTCGACACTCGTTGGCAATGGTAGCTCAATACAGTAAATTCTCGCCAATTTTCCTTCGGCTTATAAACAAAAATGGATAATTTGAGAAAAGGAGATACGATTATTCGAGCATCGCGGCTCATTTTTATAGTTGTCGGTTGTCAACGATTATAAAAACGAGGTGCAAGGGTCGAATAATACGTTGTGAATTTAAAGACATTTGAGAGTATCTGAAGTCAATGAAATATTCAGGGATGAAAATTCGAAACGTTGAATTTGAGGGGACGAGAGGGACAAGATCGGAAGACGGTAGATATCGATGACTTTTCAAGAAAACATCTGTTCCTGTTCCAGCGGAATTCTTATTTCTGCCACATATAAATTCTATTTGACTGAAAATTCAAGAACTTCCTTTTATGTATTCTCGTGAGATCATAAAATAAGGGAAACTTTCTAAAAGAACGTTCTATAAGCACAGTTATAAACAGAACCCATTAACACGTTCCGTGCCGAGCTTTTTTTACTCGAATCTTCACACTTTGATATTTTACTAAAACTTGATGTATTACGTGCAATTATTAATTCTCGTACACATAACAACGTAACAAAAACTTATCAACGCCCATTCTTGCGGTGGAAATTGATTCTTCGGTTCTAAATTCCTTGTAAACAATTTGTTCAGTTCACTAAGTAAACATGCAAGCGTGTACCATCGATGGTACACGTGGCACGGAACGTGTTAAGTGATCCACTCTTTATAAAAATCTAACAAGAGAACAATTGAACCGAAAAAATAATACAGTCCGAATAGTTTGCTTTCAGTATACTTCGCTCTAGCAATATATCGCCAGCATCGCAGTGCTGCGCGTATCGTGAACATACTCGAATGAGAATGAACTTTAAATTTCCTACAAAATAAACATTTATTACTTCTCCTTGGTTAAATATTAATAAGCAATTTACACGGGGGAGAGAAAAAAAACAAAAGAACATAGCAGTTGTTAAATAATCGAACGGCAGAGCACGTTTCGCGTGAACGACCTTCGATCAGCGACAATCCTACTCGCCGAATAAATCAGTACACAGATCGCAACAGTGATTTCATCATCATCGATCGCGGCCACATATCCGGTTAATTAAATTAAATCCGTCTAAATAAAAAATACGTTGTCTTCCTCCACGAAAAGACTGGAAATGTCTGCGACGAGATGTCTAGTGATTTAAGTTTAAAATTACTTAAAATATAAAAAAATATAATATAAATGCATTTTATTTTTACAATAATGCCAAACCTTTAAAATGACTAGATTAACTTAAATAAATATCCATTGTTAGTATAAAATTGACGCCTTAGAAAAGCATGCGCCTCTGAAGCGTATGGTTATCTTTTACGTACGTTGTCATATGGTTATCTTTCTAGGGTTAAAATAGTATAAACATAGTCTTGAATCGATAATACGAACCAGTGACATTTACGAAGTTTGTCCAATGGTTTTGGGCACTGGGTCGTTGTAATCTCCTAGGAAAGAGCCAAGGATAAGCGAAAGCCCATAAACAGAACAATTAGGCTCGCGGCGGACAGAGTCTGTATCGAGGGTCGTTTTCTACCGTGTCCAATCCGGGCACCGGGCTGGGCTGGCCATTTTTCCCGAATGTCTCCCGGCATAGATCGAATGCCACGGTAATTTCTGAGGGCTCGATATCTCGAAAAAATGGGACACGATAGTCGCGGGGAAAGAAAAGAGACGTGGCAACGTTCACGGAGGCGCCAGACCGTCAGATATTTTCACGTGCCGGTCTGCTCAGCGACTATCTCGGTGAACCGAAGAGAAACGCGTCTACCTCGCTATCTCCCCGTGAATATACTATCGGTCAAAAATACCAAATTGATGCCCGTGAAACGCCGTTACTCACGATTTCTATTCCTCATGATTTCTTTCTTTTATTTAACCCCGTGGCGCTCAGACATTTTAGAAGTTCGCCGTCCTTAACGCTGGGTTTAAGGCGCGCCGAGAGCAGCTGTTTTATATTGTTTCACGAAAACAACGACAAGCACGTACAGGGTGAGTCACAAATTGATGTTCACGATTTTTCAGACCCTTCCGATGGTCTGACAAAAGAATGTTTCCTATCAAAGTTGATTAGTATATAACTGACGAGAAATTGCAATTGTTTCAATTTAAGAACAAATTGATTTTGGATAAAATAGCAAGGTCAACGTTATATTTTTAAACGAAACTTGGTAATTTTTACTTCATTGCATTGCAGGCGACGTTGAGACGAATTCAACGATCTGCTACATGATGATCTTCAGGCGACATTGGAGGACAAATTGCCATGAATCGATTGTCACAATATTTGAAATAATTTGACGATGTATAACACCAAGGCACACAGATATATGTAATATAATAATATAATAATATCATAATATAATAATTATAATATGATATGGATATGTAATGAGAATATGTATATGTAAAATTAATATAAGTCACAAACACGATAAAGACAATTCTTAATATCCTTTTGATTCCATTAAAAAATCAACAATTAATTGTCTCCTTGAATCGTCGAAATTTCGAGGATTAACGCCTTTAATCAACGACTGACGATTACATTCATCAAACAATTCCATCGTCGACTTCTCAATGATTAATGCTTTTAATCGTTTTCATCGATCATTTGATCGAATGTGTTAAACGAATTTGTTTTCTTGCAGAATTTGATATTCCGCAGATACGGTAATATGACTTTTTTTGCATTTTTAGTCTCTCCTGATTATATTTTGTTCCTTTAATATGGTGTTTTCAGATTATTAATGCAAATTAAAGTAAAGAAAAGCTTTAAATGGCATCTAAAATTTTATATATTCCACGATCTTATGTATACCTTATTCTACATAATTTCTATAAAATAATCTGTAGCAATTTTTCCGGCTAAAAATTAGTATGTAACTATCTCGATAAGAAGACTAGAGATGTCAAAAATAAAAAAAGGTAACAATATTTGCTGAATCAGTGTTTTATAGTTTTCATGAGTGTGTATCGTTATAGATAATTCTGTAAAAGTCCACATATGAGTCGTTTATTTTGAAAGTGGCATAAGTCGCTTTGTTTTTAAGTCGATATATTTAAGGGTTTGCGTTTTAACACGTTTAAAAATATGGATGCTAACTTTCGAGAAGATTTACCTGTATTTGTTATCTCAGGATACTGATATTTTTCTCAGTATAAATAATTTCGTNAAATTTTATATATTCCACGATCTTATGTATACCTTATTCTACATAATTTCTATAAAATAATCTGTAGCAATTTTTCCGGCTAAAAATTAGTATGTAACTATCTCGATAAGAAGACTAGAGATGTCAAAAATAAAAAAAGGTAACAATATTTGCTGAATCAGTGTTTTATAGTTTTCATGAGTGTGTATCGTTATAGATAATTCTGTAAAAGTC